TGAATTCATTAGAAAATCATTGTCTGAAAAAGGCATGTTATTACCAAAAAATCCATCCCATGTTATGGGTATGATAAAAAAACAATATGAATTAGCTAGACAAACTGTGGTTTTAGAGATAACAAAAGAAATTTCTAGCGGGTCGCGATTTTCTTTATCGTTAGACGAATATACGTCTTTAAAAAATCGACGTTATTTAAATGTAAATTTACACTTATCAACAAAGTTTTGGAACCTGGGAATGACTCCGATAGCTGGATCACTTCCTGCAGAAAAAATTGTTGATCTAGTTGAAAATAAACTGTCAGATTTCAGTTTATCAATTAAAAAGCACATCATAGCTAGTGACACTGACGGAGCATCCGTAATGAAAAAATTTGGACGGCTAAGTGGTATTGAACATCAGCTGTGTTATGCCCACGGACTTCATTTGGCAGTATGTGATGTTCTTTACAAAAAGTCAGACTCTTCAGCAAAATATATTGAATTTGAATCGCAGTTTCAAGATTCCGATGAAAATTTGAGTGATTACGACGAGTTTGATGATGTATTTGACTGTAATGATGAGTCACACAGCTCAACAGGCGTTACGTTTATTGATGATTTACAAAATAGCGTAAATATAGCCTTAACAATTCAGAAGGTTCGAAAAGTGGTTCGAATGTTCCGCAAATCACCTCTTAAAAATGAAGTTTTACAAATGTACGTAAAATCTATGTTTAATAAAGAGCTTAAGCTGATATTAGATGTCAAAACGAGGTGGAATAGTCTTGTTGCAATGCTAGAAAGATTCCTTAAAGTAAAAACATGTATACTAAAAGCAATGATCGATTTAAAAGAAGTTCTGAATATCTCCGAAGATGAATATGCGATTATGAACGACATAACATTTTCTCTGCAACCAATAAAAGTTGGAATAGAAAGACTTGGTAGAAGTAATGCTACTCTACTTGACGCAGAAGGTGTAATGATATTCATCTTAGACGATTTGACGGAGAAAAAAAATTTTATAGCTAATAAACTGCTTCAATCTGTGCAGCAGAGAATTGAAGAACGCAGAAATGCCAATTTAATTGGATTACTAAAATTTTTAAACAACCCAATTAGTTATAATCAGGAATCAAATATCAACTCCAAACTACTCTTACCGCCCAAACATGCATTAAAAGCAACAGCAAAAAAAATTTATACCAGGTTGTACATAGAGGATGCTAGCCTTAGTTCATCAAATAATGAAATAGTTGAAGTGAGTCGTGATAATGAAAGCATGGTTTCTGACCCGTCAATACCTCAACCTGTTGCTCCATATTTATTAGGCAAAAGTATTTTGACTCTTGAACAAAAATTGGATGCGACTATTTGTAATGTCAAACAAGTAGAAAAAGCAGCTCTAGAAAACATTAGCAATTTAAAAAACCTCACAAAAGAAATCAAACTTTTTGAGGCAACTGGAAAGCGTAGCGAAAGTTTAGAAAGAATATACTCAACATTAATGACCATCAAGCCGACATCAATTGAATCAGAAAGGGCTTTTTCTGCCGCGGGTCTATTTATGGGAAAAATTCGTTCACGATTAAGTGACAAATCAATTGATTGTTTATGTTTTTTAAAACAATATTTCATTTTAAATAGTAATATAGATTAGCGTGCTAAGATAAATTTGTGTCAGAAACCGCTTGTTATTATATTAAAAATTATGCCGGGAAATCCCGGGAAATCCCGGGATAAATAAGTTACACACCGGGAATCCCGGGATGCTAAATTTACGGGAAATGAGAAACCCTAGTCAAGAATTCGACAAATTATATTGAAGAGGTTTTTAACAGTCTTCACATTAATAATCACATTAACTCTGATGCTGGTTTTGTAGAAGAGGTATGGCCCCTTTTTTCTGGGGATAAATGTTGTAAGTATATGAAATTCCATTTTGATTTCTAATTCACCAGGGTCTGTATATGATGTTTATTTATTTTGTACATATCAAGGTTCAGAATGTTGTGAGAATATTGCATTAATTCTTGGGCATTATGTCAATGACATTATAAGAATTAAGTCGTCAGATTTTATGTTAAAAGGCAAAATAATTAAGTTGTTCACAGGTTGAGATTTTCATTTCATCAATGTTTTGGGACACCAGGGTTCAGCTGCTAGCTTTCCTAATTCTACAGACCTAGTTGAACTGTGTTCTCTAAGAAACCATGCCTCTACGCCTCGCGAACCTGCTAACATCTTAAGGAGGACAGTAAAATCTCTTACAATGAGCTCTATGTAAGTTTCATAAATCAATTATTGCTTCTGTAATTTTTTCCATAATAACTTGTGTATATATGTGTAGTGCCACCTGTTTTGCATAATAGGTTAAGAATAGTGTTGAAACTGTATAATTTATTGTTGAAGGAGTGTAAGACTTTAGATTGCTAAACTGATTTGTCTTTATCTCATAACAAGGATGTGAAAACAAATGAATTGTGGGCAGCTAAAAACATTGGATATTATAAAACAGCAGAAGCTTTGTGTTTATCAGGTAATCAACTTGTAGACGTTACAAATCTACAGGCGCAATGGTTAGCTTTTAATAAAAGTAATATTTCTGAATTAGATCCCTAAACTCCTCCATAAAAAAACACCTGTAAACAGCAAGAAATGTGTGCTTGTATCAGGTGTTTAATTGCAAAACATCGCTATAACATTGACTGGGTGCAGTGTGGTACATACTAAAAATGGCTTCATCAATTTTATGAAATTATTGGTGATTTAGCAAAAAGCATAGTGTGACATAAAGTACGAGTGTTTAGCTTGTCAAAATAGAGAAGATGTTGACCTTTATATTTCTGAAAAATTTCTTTAATACGCGTACAGTGCAAACTTTTAGACATTGAGTATATTTGATTGCAGATAGAGTGTGAGGATTTAGAAAAAAATATCCAAAAGTAACATGAGGACTTATGAGATGTCTCTTAAAGCTCTTGAAGATATAAAGGTAGACCGACAAGCTTACCACAATAATGTATCTGTAGGTAATAATTGTAAAATAGTCTTAAAAAACCACTATAAATTTTGTAATGTTATTAATGATGAAGCGACTAAAAATAAATTTGTACATGTGTTTAGTAAGTTGCATATTTTTAAGCAAAAATTTCTTTCTGATGCAGAAATTACTGAGCTTCATTTTCACCTTCATTAATTCACCTTCAGCAATTTATAAATTTATTTGCTATTGAGTTTCATACTTGCTTTCCAAAAGAAAGCAAAAAATGCTTGAATTCCTTTTTAATGTGCCACTGTTTGTAAAGTTGCATAAAGAGTTTGCATGGCAGTGTAAATAAAGAATTAAGACAGTTGCATTTAGCAAGAAATCAGGACCAGAAGCTGTGTCTTGTTTAAAAACACTTTGAATTGCACAGAAAAGCTGATAGGAAGCTTCAAGCAACTATGGTGCGAAAGTGTATTGTTTGTTCTGAGTGTAGCGAAAATTCTTTTTATAGACTTTTTATAGACTATATTTTTTTAAATTTAAACCAAATTTTGATGACCACTTGTTTGTGGTCATCAAGTTTAGTTTAAATTAAAGAGAAAAAAAAGTCTATATGATTAAAAAAACCTTGATTTATAAATAAAAGAACTTTATTCTGTTCTAGTAGGCCTGTAATGTTTGTTTAAAATATTTATTATTTTTTATTATATGTAACATTAATTTTATACATTACATAATATTTAATGAGCAATTCTATTCTTATCTTTAGATGTTGATTCTACCTCTGCAATACATCTGCTCAAGTTATGTCTAGCATCAACTGGGTGCAAAAATATAACTTACTATTTTATAAAACTTATGAACGGAGCAACTGGTATGTTTGTTGGGTAAGATTTTGTATGTTTGAGTAGTTTGTTTAAAATATTTATTGTCCTTTATTATATGTAACATTAACTTTTTATATTAGATGACCATTCGATGAAAAAATATTTCAATAAGAAGTGCCATAAAATAACTATACTGCCAAAAATCAAGGTTAATTCAAAAACTTAAACTTAATTTTGGTCATGTAACTATTTTATCAAACTTGCTTTGCAAACAAAGTTTTTATTTATTAACAACTTCACAACATATTATAAGAATTGTATGACAGAAATAAATAAAAGTCTTTTAATTTTAAAAAAGTTTAAACTAGGTGTCTAATTTAAAACTTAAGCATTTTTATTTTGTTTAGACCAACTACTCTAAAAACGAAATCTGGTTTTATTTTGTAATGGAATGAATTTTATCAGCTTTGTGAAATTATTAAAAAAAAATAACTTCTAGATTTGAAAACGTACTCATTTTAACAGTCTATCCCATTTTAAAAGATATTTTTGTAATTATGCAAAAACTGTGATTTGCTTTACTGACTTAAATAAAGTCTGTTTTAGTTGATCTTTAACATTTAAGTTTTTTTTGACTTTATAATAGTCCAATAATGTGTATATTTAATAAAAATTACCTGAAACATATTTTTATGATTTTTTTTTTTTATAAATAGCAACATTTTTAAATTTATTTGTTAAGTGCCATAAGATAAAACATTTTATTGGTCTTTTTATTCTTTTATTCTTTTTATTCTTTACATAACAAAATTATATCAAATATTTCAAAAGTTATAAAAGTTTATTTGTAACACTCGTTGAGTAAATATTTTCTTAAATTAAACGAGAAGGCATAAAGCTCACTTAAAATAGTATTAAAAATATAGCACTTATAATCAACTCAAAACTAGCAAAGCTGTTTTTGGTTTATCAACAGTTGCTACTACTTACAGCTGCAATTTTATATTTTTACTATTTTAAACTAAATTTATATTCACCAATAGATTTCAAATTTCCTCAAATAATATTAAAATGTTTAAAAATCATGACCATGTAAAATTTTCAAACTCCTCAGAATGATTATAAATAAATAAAAAATTACATTTAATAATATAAGTTATATATAAATTATGATAAAAAAAATATATTTTAACTCTTACTTTTCTGGAATTTCCTTACAAAGCTTTAAGGACCGTGAATTACATCCAGCTAGACGCTGTGCTCCAAAATGCTGATCGGATTTCCAATCTTTATCTAAAGCCTGTAAATTAAATGTTTAAATGAAAAATTAGTTTCAAGAAATTTTGTAGTTAGGAAAAGTTTTTTTGATAATGTTTTAATCTAAATATTTGTAATATTTAGATTAAAACATTGTTGCTATTATTTTATATCAACTTGAAATAAATTTAAATAATTCTTTCATGTATGTGCGTGTTATATCACCAGTGGCAGATAGAGACTTTTCATTGGCTTGGGAATATTTTAAATCAAAAAACCCCTTTCTATGTTATTAATTAAAGATTTTATTTTTACATTTTTTTTTTTAAATATATAGATTTTTTTTGAATTGGAGCTCAAAAAACTGCAAGTCCCAGGTCCTCCCTAGAGTGACAGTAATTGGGATAGTAATTATTCATATTATTTTATAATTGGAAGTATTAATTATTTTATAATTGGGAATAGTAATTATTAGTAACTGGGATAGTAATTTTTACAAAAACATATTGGGATATTCAACGGGTGTATTTTATAAGAATTTTAATTTTTTTATGATAAAATGTAATTTAATACATATTCTTTTAAAAAAGAATAATAGTGTAGGTATGCGTGCATCAGTATAACATGACAAAATAAATTCTTACAACACATAAACCAATGGCATAGACATTTTTAAAAAAATGTAGAATACTTAAACTTTACTTTTGTTATATTCTTTTTCGAAGACATATTTAGGGTTACCAGATGTCTGGCTTTTATGGAGGAGAATACAGTGCCAAACCTGTAAAAATAAACTTTTTTACTGTGTTCTCATTTGTAAAAGCCATACATCTGGCAACCCTAGTTATAGTTGTATTGAATTTACTCATTTGAAAAACTTCATTGTTGATTAGATATAAAATTGATATTGAAGGTGTATTTAGTTTTTTATTAAATCTACTGGGCCCAATTTAAAAATATGTTTCCTATGTTTATGTCAAAATTAATTTTAAAAAATTAGGTAGCAGAAACCCATTTTTTTAAAATGAAAAGTTAAAATGAAAATATTTGTTAATTTCTTTCGTTAAATGTTTTATTACCCTAACAAATATTTTCTTGTAAAATAATAACTTTTGGAAAATAAAAATGCTTTTTATGTAATTAACAATGTTTCATGTTATTGAAAATATTTTGAGTGATATGCAAGTATTTAAGTGATTAATAAGTATTTAAGTGATTAAGTGATTAAGTATTTAAGTGATATGCAAGTATGCTTAATAATATGTATCATGGGTTATAGCAAAGATTATTTATAGAGGTTGTTGTCAATTGCATCTCCCTACTATTAGACTTATTATACTATTAATCTCTTGAATATTTAAAACTCATTTTTTTGTCTCACAATTTTGTTTTGATATTTTTCGGTATTAGACTTTTTTTTAAAAATAGAATATTAGAATAATCATATAAATTATATACAAAAAGTTTTTAAATTATATTATAATTTAAAAACTTTTTGTTTATAATACTAGTAATAAGAGTAATACTAGGGTAAGTGAATATATAGAATATTTTTTAACAAAATAGTAAAATATATTGAACACTACGTTTTACGATAGATTTTTTATTTGATGGATAGATGAGACAGTAATCATTTTGATGTATAGTAACTATAGTATAGTTATATAAGTTATATAATAGTATTTTCACGTGACGCAAATGTTTCCTATTGTCATTTATTTATATTTACAATTGATAAGGGATCGTTTATAAATACGCTCGGAGGGAAAAAGGGGTCTACTAATGGCATATATATAAAAGAAAGGAGATACTAAAATAAAAAAAATCAGAAAATGTTAGATAAATAGGTTAAAAGCGTAAGTACTTCTCGGGAGGTGGAGGGTACTCAAAAAAGTGTATTGCAAAATGCGGGGGGAGGGGAGTAGGAGGGGTTGACGAAAAAAAACATACGTACTTTATGAACGACCCCTAACGTGGATATCTTGGCTTTTAAAACAATAATTTGAGCGTCCGTCTATTAATACGTCCTTGATTATATAAACAAGATGTCTAACTTCGATCCAAAAAGTGAAGCCGCTTTTGCCCCAATTTAAACTTGCTTTCACAGCATAAGCTGTATAATATTTTGCCTTTTACAAATGGCGGATTAAGTTTGTTAACAAAAAAAGCGGCTTCACTTTTTGTCCAATAAAATCCCGCAAGTTAGACACCTAGTTTAATAATTCGATTTCTCGAACCTATAAGGGATCTAAAAAATAGTTCGGGTTATAAAGTTTTGATCTCAAAGGTAAAAACAATGCATTATAAGTTTATATATATATATATATATATATATATATATATATATATATATATATATATATATATATATATATATATATATATATATATATATATATATATATATATATATATATATATATATATAGGTTAAATTATACTTTTTACATTTTATTATATAAATTGTTCTTTTATATTTAATACATATCGATGAAATTAGTTTTGTTAATTATGAGATCTTTTAGTTTTTTCTTCAATAAGATTTAGTAAGTTCTATATTTTGAGGTATTATTTTGTTTAGGGGCCACGGTATACAATTGAAAATCTCGAAAAATTTGTTTTTTTATGGGTAACGTAAAGTTTCCGGTTCCTCGTGTGATATATCTGTTTGCGTTGGTTTGAAAAAAGTTATTAGAAAATAGAATATTTTGGTAGATGTTAATTTGATAGATACTTAAAGCATTCATGTTTTTAAGTAAAGAATTGGCATGAGTGATTTTATTTTTATTATAAATCAATCTTGATGCGTGTTTTTAGTGCATATATAGAGAACTTAATTTAGATTTATTTGTACTTCACTAGGCAATATTAGCATATGTTAGGTAACTTTATATATAAGAAAAAAAGAGGATTTTTTTTTTTTAGATTTCCTGGGAGAATCTGAAAAAAAAAATCTAAAAAATCTAAATAGTCAAACCTATACTCAGGTTTGACTTTGTAAAGTATACCTATACTTTTTGATACATTTGTATATAAAGGACGACCATCCCTGGTAGACAAATTTTATTGTGTTTACCCCCTATACACGTCTCAGATTGAAGGTTTAGTGACTTATTAGGTTGCATACGAAAAAACAATCTAAATTCATCTGCATTATAAATTTCATCAAGTTTATACCTGGATAAAATTATAGGGAGGGTTTTTTTTTCCTTTCATGGCGTTGTCCTTTCAACTGTACAAGAGTTAACCTCTCCACATACCCTCTCCACATACCCTCTCCACATACCCTCTCCACATACCCTCTTGAAAGAAACATTATACCTATTTTTTAACAATCAAGCCAACCATCAGACGCTTGAAATCCATTTAAATAAAGTTTTTCAGCAAGTTCTCTGGCTTTCGTTTTAAAAATTGCTGTTAATACTCTCACGTTTCTACCCCTTACATTTAAAAGCTATTTAAAAACAAGATTATCTAAATTTGAAAACATTCCTTCTTTAATTCTCATATGTTTTGATTTGTTCCCTTGCGACTTCATACATTCGAAAATTTTTCTTTATTTTTGATCCATGTTGACGGCGTGTTTTTTGGAATGTCATTTTTCATAGCAACCTGAGACTTAGACAATCTTTTTCCGATTTCTCGGCAGCGTATTTTGCTTTAATTAATTTTGTGTTTTTTCCTCTTTTCTGATTTTTGTTAATTTTATCTTTTCATCGACAGCAGCCAAAATAAAATGTAAACACAACAAATTTTATTATAAAGTTGCAATGCACGTTAGTATAACTTATACTACAAACTAAACTATTATTACCGTTAACATTGCAATGCTTGTATTGGTTATCGGGTTATCGGAAAAATATTAACCATGGATAAAATGGTTTGACTAAGCGAATGTTCGAGCTAACGGGTGTTCAAGTTATCGAGCTATTTTTATGTGAAAATGTTAGTGAGGGTTCAAGAGGAACTCAAAAGTGGTTCAAGTTACTGGAAGTTCGAATTATCTGAGGTTCGAGATATTGGGAATTTACTGTATCATTGGGTCGCAGTTTAACCAAGCAATCCTTTTAATCAAATTTTGTTGCTTGAATGTGCGTGCATATTCAATTATAACTTTTTTTTTCAATTAACAAACTTTTTTTTTTGATAAAAAACTTGAAGGAGTTTATGTATTTTTTAAAAAGTGTTTATATTTATATTAAGGATAAAAATTGCTTAATTCATTAAAAATCTGCTTAATTCATTGCTACATTACATATGCAAATATTACTTTGGGAAGTTGTCAACTAACATAACCTAAAAATTCATTGCTACATTACTTATGCAAATATTACGTTGGCAAGTTGTCAACTAACATAACCTAAAAATTCATTGCTACATTACTTATGCAAATATTACGTTGGCAAGTTGTCAACGAACGTAACGTAAAAAAATTCTTTGTTTGCAAAAACATGGTTGTAGAATTAAATTCAACAAAAAACGATGAAACCATAATAAAACTTTAATGATGGATATGAAAATGATGAACATATATCAAATAAATATTTACCAACACAGGCAATTTAAATATGGCAAAATCATTAAATTTCAGAGTCAAACAAAAACTTAATTTTTAAATATTACGGACGAATTTTTATTTATTACTTTTATTTATAATTTTTATCTATAACTTTTATTTTTGTTTACAAAAAAATTTCTTAAACATATCTTCTTATTTGGCTGTATGTATTTTTAAATATTATATGCAATCTTTATATATTGTATGTTAAATATGATATTATATATTTAATTGGAAGTTTGTGTTTTAAATATCACCTTTCATGACTTTTTGTGACTACTAGTGTTTATAAATACTATAACTTCTTTTCAACTATTTGCATATATATATATATATATATATATATATATATATATATATATATATATATATATATATATATATATATATATATATATATATATATATATATATATATATATATATGTATATTTTCTTTTTTCTGACAGATTTGTATTTTTAAATATTTTCTTCTCTATTTTTAACTATTGGCGACAAGTTATATTTTTTAAATACTATTATATATACTAATAATAATATTATTAACTACTATTATATTTTTTATTCACTATATGTATTTTTAAATATTATTACTTCTTTTTTGGGCTAATTGAGGATATTTGTACTTTTAATTAATATATCCTCTTTTCTGTATTTGTATTTTTTTAATATTATATCTTCTTTTTTACTAATTTTTTCTTTTTTCTTTTTTACTAAAGTTTTCTCTTTGATTTATTTACCATAGTTTACCGTATTTTGTTATAGGGTCTCTATGAAAAGATTAAAGTGATATTTTTCCATCTATATCTTCTTTAAGCCCCTGTCTGTTTATTATTTTTTATATTTTTTTGTGAAAGGGAATCGTAGTTTATATAAACAGCAAAATAAAAAAATTCTATATAAAAAAAAATTTAATTTAGAAAATTTCCGGAAATTTTGGAAATTTTCAAAAAAAGTTTAGTTATTTTGTAGTTAATGGGTAATCTAGTTTCGGCAGTTTTGAAGCCACCTTTGAAAAACACTTTTTTTGATATTTTGTTGAGTTTTTTTATTGTAATTGTATAATTTAGCCACTATGATAATTTGCTTTCAAAATTTTCTAAAATTGTTTTATCGAGCTAAGCAAATTGATATTCATTGCCATGTAAGCTTTGTTTAAGGCTAAACATAATTTGAAGCATCATCCCTAAAAGGATGGGGCATTTTCAATATTTATTAGATTGGCCGACAAGTTACTAAAAACTGTATATTATATATAAAAAGACTTCATTGAATATTTGCAATATTTTACAATTTTTTCTTGATTTAAAGAAGTTATTGATTAATGGAAGGCAAAAAGTAAACACTTTTACTAAATTTGAATTATTTAAAAATATAGTTAGCAATAAAAATAAAGAACTAATAATTTCGAGGTTATAAATTCCGCCGCTATAAACATAGCGGCGGAATTTATAACCTCGAAATTATCTCTAAATAAGTTCTTTTAAGACTTGAGTCTCATTCGCCACAACATTGCTAGAGTACTTTTGACTTTATAAATCAAAAAAATAAAAAAATTAAGCTATACTTTGAAATGGTTTAAATGAATACCATATTTTTCAACCAATGCTGCCAAGTTGGCGATTTGTGTGTGTTTGTGTGTGCGTGTGTGTGTTTTCTAAGTATCATACCAAGCAAATTAATTTATCATTATTTTACTGAACATTCGGATCAAATGTGTTTTTAATGTAATTTTTAGATAAACTAATATAATCTAACACACCTAGCATTTATAACATAAATGAACAAGCTAACTCGGAAAACATCAACTTTTCGTTGTTCCATAAAAGTAATATACGTTAAAGTAACATTTAACAACATGAGCGTTACTGCTTTTTAAAAAAATGCGCGATTCTTATATTGATAAACTTGATTACAAAAATTTGACTAAAAGATATGTATTTTTCGTTTAATTATTTTATTTTTGGTTGAAATATTTAAAGAATATTCAAATACTACGATGATAAAATGCATATTTTTTAAACAAAGAACCCGACGGGCATTTGTTTTTAAAAGTTAAGTTAAATGTGTTTTAAACGTCTTTTAAACGTCTTTTTAACATTAATGTTTAAAAGACGTTTAAAAGACATTTAAAATACATTTAGATCGTAACTTTTAAAAACAAATGCCCGTCAGGAAATGAATTTTATAAAACTATGTAAGTTTACTGCAAAGGCTACCGCACTCCCCATTTGCGAAAAGATCCAGCTAATTTAGGGGTCCTTTTGCAAATTTAGTGGGTTTTTTGAAAATAAATTGAGTTGTTTTTTTTAATATAGCGGAAAATTCTTTAAGATTTTAGGGCCCTAATGACAGGTAGTTGTTGTTTTTGTTTAGATGGGGGGGGGGGGGTTGAAAAGGAAGCGGACCCACTAGCCACGGTACTGTATATGTAAAAAATTGATGGATACATAAAAAAATAAAATGAATAGACATATAACTAGAAACAAAATTTTTAAAAAATATTCATGAAAAAGTATTTCATCATGTTTACATTTCAACAACACCTTTGAAGTGCAAAGCATGTTTTTTGAAAAGAAGCTGTTAAGTCTGCAGCAACACCTACACAAAAACTAACTGAGTAAACAAGCATTTGTATAAAAATTTCTATGAAGTGTTCACAATATACTCGGCCTTGTGTGGCTCATGAATTGTGTGGTTTATGTCTTTTGTAGCGATTTTGTAGCAGCTGATTTACTGATATATAAAATTCTTATAAAATAGAATAAATATTATAGATTTCTTTTTGATGAATCTGTGAAGGTTCTCAGTGAAAGTTTTGACAAAGTTTTCTGTTTATTTCTGATACTGCACCATATATGGCAAAGGCGGCTCGTGCATAAAAATTTTTTTTTATGCACGAGCCCCAAATTAACGCATATACCCCAAATTAACGCATATACCCCAAGTTAACGCATTCAGTACTTTCTTTCCTACAGATTACACAGAGTATGTTGGGTGATACCAAACATATATTTATATGTTGATAAACTTGTACCAAATGTAAAAAATGTATTATCTACATCAAGAATGAAAAACTTTAGAAGTTTTAAAACTTTAAAAGGTTAAAAATGTGCTTTATACTGACCTTGCGGACCTCTTTATCCAATAAAATCATCTTAACAATATGAAGTTTGTTACACTTTGAACAATAGAAACTGTTTGAGAATTTTTAGCTTTTTTAACTTAAAAAGGTTTTATACTTTTTTCTTTTAAAAACATAACATATTTGGTTAACATAAAATAAAAATAGCATTTATTTAAAAAAAAAAATGAAAAGAAATACTTTTGAACTTACGTTAGGTCGTCTGAATTTTCCTCTTTCTTTGAACAAACTTTCAATTTCATCAAAATTTGACCAATTTTTTGGTTTTTGATATTCTGGTATTTGATAGACTCTAAAAGTTTCCGAGCGCTTTTGCATTATATCCCACTAAAAGAAAATCACAAAAATAAAAATGTTTTTATATTATTATTTAAAAATATATTTTTACTTAAACAATACAAAACTTATTTTTATATATTTTGTCATTCTAAAATTTACTTTTTTATTTCTAATTCTTTTTCAAATATTGTATGGCGCATCCTAGAGTTTAGGAAGCCACTACCCTCTCCTAAAATTACTTTAGTTTTTATAAAAAGAAAGTTTTTTATATCATACTAACCTGCTATAAAAAATACATATACAAGGAGTGTGATTTTAGGAGGTAACAATAATAAAAAAAATTATTTTTTGTTTTATAATAAATAATCGCTCTTACATAGATATTATATATGTATAATGCAGTATACATGTATTTATTTTTATAAACAAATACATACATACATACAAACATACATACATACATACACACATACATACATACATACATACATACATACATACATACATACATACATACATACATACATACATACATACATACATACATACATACATACATACATACATACATACATACATACATACATACATACATACATACATACATACATACATACATACATACATACATACATACAAATAACCTAACCTTATAAAAGTTACTAAATACTTCATCTCGAGGCATGCTGCGTAACTACAAAAAATTACAGAAGTAAAACAAGTAAACTCATTTACAAATAAATATAAAATACAAAAAATTTTTATAAATTAGTTTTAAATTGTTTACAAGTATAAAAGAATTAAAAGTTTTTCTACCTGTGGTGGTCTATGGTTAGATTTCTGATATCCGTACAAAACTCGTTTTATATTTAGTTCACTTGAGCGTTGTTTGCTTGATGCTTCATGCTGAGGTAGACATATATCAAATTCGCTGACAACAAGAGGACGGTTTCGAAGCCATCTGTTGATAGGGAAAATGGTTTCATACTCAGTTTCTTCATCAATATGACGCACTGTGATTCGTTCAACATACCACTCCACGTCATTTTGCTCTTTATTTTTTTCTACAATAATTCTATTAATAGTACCAAAGTCTTTCATTTTGTATATATTGAAACTGTTTATTCTTCCTTTTTTGAAAACGGTAACACAGCACCCTGATAGTTGTATTTGCTTTTTCTCTTTTCTTTCGTCATTAATAAGCGTCACTTCTGCTTTACTGTGAAGTCCTGCGCCTTTTGTATCTCCTGTTTTTATTGAAATAATGTAATTGGGTACGTCAAAAAAGTCTAAGCACCCTGAATTACCGTTTCCCATTTTAAACAAAATCCTCGCTTTTTAAACTGTTGTTTTTTGAACAAATTAATATTGCAACTTCTTGTTAAATCAGTAAATAGCTCAGCAACTTTTCGTCTAAACAGCAAAAATGTTTTTAGTATTTTTATTCATTTTTTATTCCGAAACTCCGAAAGAAATTTCGATACAAAGTTCTTACTCAATATTTATTCGATGCATAACAGTCATTAAAACTATATACAATAAACATTTAATCGACAAGGAAAACTAGCATTAAACGTTTTTACAAACTTCATGCAAGCGAGTATTGCAAATTTTATATACTTAAATTACAAGGAGCGAATTGAAACTCTATATTTAAATATTTTAGTGCTATTGATGAATTATTAAAAGAACGGCCGTTTCATTCCATAGAACGTTTTAAATAGAGGCGCATTCAACACACTCACACACAAAAGCAAACTTTCACAATATGATAGAAAATAAATGGTGTCAAATATAGCAATGAGTAACACTTTTTACTTACAAGATTTACACAGAAAGCATGGTTTCGTGGTTAATGAATGAATAATTTTAATTGTTCTGAGTAATTTTTTAATACAATCACAGTCTCTTATTTTAAGTTATCTTTTACAGTCTTACAAGTTTGTTTTGCAATATTTTTAAGTTTTTTGAAAAAGTTTTCATTGTATTAGTATCATTTTAACGTATGAACGTAGCAACGTAGTATATATTACGTTGAAAGAATAAAAACAATAACGCTCTTTTACAAATAACAAACAAATAATACAAATTGTATTCCTTTAATATATTTTAAAAGTATACATTTTTATATTTTAATGAGTTTAATTACGTAAATGCTTTAACAAAAAAAATTTTATGTTAAAATAAATCTCTTTAATACATATGCTAATAAATTATGCTCTCACACTCTCATATTTTGAAGTTCTTTTTAAATTTTGTTACAAAACTGAAACTAATGATAACTTTTCCAAAATAAGTTTTGAAAACTATGAACATAAAAATAAACAAGTTAAGAATGAAAATGCAACATTTCTTATTTTCTACCAAAATATTTTTTTATATTTTCATAAAACATAAAAATGAAAATAGATAATAATAAGATAAAAATTTTTATTTATCTTTAACTTACTCATCAACTCAAGTCATAATTTCAAGTGATAAATAAAAAAAAAATTTCCATATGTAGATCCCATCCTTGTCATGGATCACTGATAAATGATCTTGAAATCCCTCTTGGATTTGAAACTTTTGTATTATTTTTTATTTTTCCCACTGTTCAATTAAATAAATATTAAAAATTAAAAAATACTACCTAAAGCGTAATACCGTTTGCATAATATATGTATAATGTATAAGTTTCAAATTAATTATGTATATTTAGCGTCTTTCATTGTTCTAATATTTTAACCTTATTCTGACAGCGACTTTCTATAAACGCATAAACATTTTCTCAAAAGTATAATTAGCCGATTTGATGGATTCAAATTTATACAATAAAAAATAAATTAGGCATTTTTTTAAATATTTAGTTTTTATTTATGCTTTGTAGCAAAAAGCTTAAACGAATAAAGAAATTTAAGGATTCTTATTCAAAACACTTAAAAACATATTTAGGTTTAGTTCTTAAATTTTGGCATGCAAAGCATTTGAATAGAACTAATTATTTTAAATTTTAATAATTAGTTTGAAAATTTTCATTTTTATTTATCTAGTTTTAGTCTTTTTTAATTCTTATAAAACTTTGTAATTAATTTATACAATTTATATTTATTTACATAAATTAAATTTTTTTACAACAGTTGTAGAGGGCAGGTACATTAGGGTAGTGCGGGACTAGGTGAGTATAGGAACATGTTGTGAAAGTAAAACATTTTAAAAAAACCTACGCTTCGCATGAAAAAACATCTAAAGAATAAAAGGACAAGGAAATATATATGCCATTTTTTAATATTAATTTCATTTATTAGACTCTCGATTTGAATACGTCACAAATATATTTGATTTGCTCAAGATTTAATAGTGTTTCAAATTCTGCCAAAAATAAACAGAAAATAGCTGTTGTTCCATAAATATTTTGCTTCTGTGAGCAAACGGCATTTCAAAATTTGTATATTTTTGAAAAAAAATAATTCGTTCGAATACTGGGCATTTTTCTAGAATAATTTTGTATTGTTGAAACTGTCCAGAATGCCCGAAATATTCAGAATGTATAGAACCTATAGGAAAATAGAATATATCATAGAATATATAAATTATAGCAATATAATATAAAATAAAATAAAAAAAACCTATATAACCTAATAAAACTTATAAGAAAACTCTAAAACTTCCAAGTAACTTCCAGAACTGCAAACAACTTCCAGAACGTTCTTGAACTGTTCTTTTCAGCCTCAATTTAAGTTTGTATTTTTGGTAAATAAAAAATGAATCACATTTGAAGAGCAACCTTTTAATTTGAATGACATCAAAATGTTGTTTGCATCCAGCAAATACATTTTGCTACGCGTGCGACCAATTTAAAAAGACAAGATAAAAAAGGTATTCCGTGCAGTAAGTTGTAAAACATAATTGATTTTTGCTGATGTGTTTTATTTTGTGGAATTGACAAAGTCTTTAAAGATATCAGTGTACTATAAGAAAGTATGTTATACCTTAATATGATTTCCTGCATTAATTGACGTGTAAAACTTACAACTATCATATTTATATAATTACCCAGTGAGCACAAGATGTGGACGTTCTGAACGCGTATAAAACGTATTAAAACGCTTTTTAGAAGCATAAAACACATGTTGTGCTTGCTTATCCCTCCAATCGTATTCAGACGCTTCTTCGTCCATTGCTTCATTACCGCACAGCCCTGAAATTTCTGTTTCCATTCTCCCTAAGAGGAATTATTATCTTTAAGCTCATACAAAGGAACTTTACGTGAGCTTACGTCATAGATTAGAGGTAATGTAAGAAAACATTTCCAACTTCTTCAGTCAGAAAGGAGAATTGTGCTTCTGCAATAATGTTGCCTGTCATTTTGAGGTTATTGGTATCATAAGTAACCCGAGTCAATGGTGTCTATTTATAGACAGTTCAACCAAAGCTTCAAAGATGTGGTGCTTTACAATGGGAATAACTACCGGTATTTTTTTATAGTTTACTCTGTACATCTCAATGAGGACTAGACGAAAGTTAAAATGTTGCAGAGTGGCTTGAAGTACGACAATTATATATATATATATATATATATATATATATATATATATATATATATATATATATATATATATATATATATATATATATATATATATATATATATATATATATATATATATATATATATATATATATATATATATATATATATATATATATATATATATGTATATATATATATATATATTAAGGAGTACAGATTAAAAAGTTTGTACTCTCAGGAAGAAGGGTTAAAAAATTATATTATCATATTTTAAATTAATAAAAATTTAAACGTTATAATATCAAATAATAAAATATCAAAATTATTAGTAATTTAGCCAAAGCAATAAACTATGCAAAGTAAACCAAAAATTATGTTCTAAGAAAGCTTATTACCATTAAATATATGTTTTATGCGCTCTGCTTTGAGCCCTTTGTTAAAGCAGAAATTCCGTGTATAAAGTCATTAAAATTAATAGTCCCATCTTTATTTTGATCATAAAACTAGAACAATTGTTGAATAACTAAATTTTTCCTTCACGTCAGTGGTCCAAGACACATTTTAAAATGTGTAAAAAATAATCTACCCTAATTACGTTTTACGTGTTATATAGATTATTTAAATAAAAGAGAATTATTTTTAAATGTAAGGCTACAAATTTTACATCAGCCAAATATAAGAATAATGAAAATTATAAAATTGTTTAATGATAAAATTGAAAAACTTGACATCAAAATATTTAAATGTAATTAGTTCGATTTCAAATTTTCATAAATTTAACTGCTTTATTAAACTCACCTTGTTCTTTATTTTCATCGATACTGTAGTAATTGATAAAAATAAGAAGTTTGACGAGCTCAATAAAGCACTTAAGTTTTATGAGCATTATTTATGATAAAATAGTTGTGATAATCAAACATCACAAACATCAAACATCAATGAATAAGAAAATACTAACACGATTAACAAATTGGTGAATTCGAAAATAGAAATTGGAGAAACATCTTAAAATTCTGTGAGAAATAAAATAAAGAAATGTTTAAATAATAAACTTCAGTTACGCGAAAACGTTGAATTTAAAAGAGCAAATTTAGTTGGAAAGAAATTAACTGGAGATAATAAAAGAGTCAGATCTACCGAAGTCGGATTTCTAAACTAGGAAGTTTTTATAGTGGTAAATTTGTTAAAACTTTGAACTTGAATATTATTACATTTTAGTGATGATTGTATCTATACGGTCTTGATGCATCAAGACCTTTTATAGACAGTCATCACTTTTATCTGATCACGCAGTAGCTGCTCTTGTTAAGCAAATACATAACGCTTTAGATAATGACTGTTTTATATTAGAAGTTTTTATTGATCTGTCAATAGCTTTTGATACCGTAAATCACAATATAATAAAAAAAACAACATAAAAACTACTGTTTGTATAAGGAAGGAGGGAAAGGAGGTTTTTTTAAGATTTCTTTTGATGCATTGAATCCAGACCGCTGGTAAACGGGAGGGGGCAATTTTTCAATTTCATAAATTATAAATAGGCTAGCTCACGAACCATTAACCAAACTTTTTTGGTTAAATTTATCTTAGAATAACTAGTCTGTCTCAATCTATGTAACTAATAAATTACATCATAGATTGGTTTACCAACAGTCTGATTTAAACTTTGCGCCGCAAAATTTTATTAAAATTTCAAACCATTTTTAAATAGCCTCCCTTATTTTCTTTAAAAAAAAACTTGATTAAGTATACAGCGGAGAAAATAGAATTAGCCTCACCTTTATTTTTTGTTTTAATTTAGCAAAAATGGCAGTGAAACAATTATTAAATATACTTTATTTCTTATTATCTTCTGCTGCAACTAAAAAGTTTATAAATTGATATGTTTAATTAATTACAAATGGAAAAAAAATTAAAAGTATTCAATTTGTGGAGAAAATAGAATTAGCCTCATTTACGTTATATACAAGAAATTACACAAAATATCTTGTTTTTACGTTCATTTAATATTTAGTATTGCTTCCTAAATTTTTAATGACTTCAAATATGCAACTTGACATACTAGTTACAAGATTTCGGATAGTTTCCACGGATATTTCATTCCCAGCTTCTCTGATACGAGTTTTCAGCTCGAAGGTGGATTCAAATTACTTACCATTTTCATAAACCTTTCTAGAAAGTATTCCCCATAGATTTTCAACTGGGTTAAGATCTGGACTACATGCGGGCCATTCCATTACGTAGTTATTGTTTTCCCTAAACCAAGCTTTTATAAGCTTTGAATTATGGATAGCAGCATTATCTTGTTGAAAAGTGAAATTTTCACCCATCAATTCATCACCATGTTCAAGCAAACTTATTTCTAATAAGTCAATGTAGTCCTGTGAATTCATTTTTGTTGAAATCCATGCCAGTGGACGTTTTCCAGCCAGTGGACGTTTTCCAAGGAAAAAGCCCCCCCCCCCCCCAAACCATAACAGTTCCACCACCAAAGTTACGACTCATCCGAGTTTCTTTCTCCTTTTGAAGGTCGTGCTAGTAATATTGATAGCCATCAGGACCATCTAGATTGAACTTTTTTTCATCACTAAAGAGAACTTGATGCCACTCTTCCCGCCAAGACATATATTCTTTTGCAAATCGTAATCTAACTTCTTTATGACGAGCAGTAAGTTTTGGTTTACGCTTTTTCCAAACTGTGTTCGGATCTTCATGTAAGATTTGTCTCACACGTTAAACATTTACAGGTAATTGTAAATCAGCGCGAATTTGAGATGCAGTCATGTGCTTAGCAGCAGCACGACGTACAATAACTCGTTTAGTACGATTATCAATTTTACGTTTGCCACCACTTTTGTTATAAGTTCCATAATTAACGCCAATCTTGAAGTAATTATTATTAAAAATTCACAAATACGTATCCCCAGATCAAAATATACAAGTAAATCAAAAATAATTGTTGATGAGGCTAATTCTATTTGTTACCGCAAATACATTTTATGGTATTTTTAAATGTACCGCAATTTAATTTTGCTATATTGTAATCTAAAAAGTTATTGTTTGTAACAATAACTA